ATATAACAATCTTTTGCGATTTTTCCTGCGCATATGCGTTGCCGAATCGCAATAAGAACCAGACAGAATGAAGCGCACAATAATGTAGATGAATGTCCTTCTTTGCGGTATCTGCTGGTTTAATACAGTTGCTGTGGTTGAAGGATTTACGCAGACTAACGCTGTTTCAGCTCGAATCTGAAACTGAATCTGAATCTACATGAAATTTGAATCTTAACGAAAAATATCCGGGGGCGGCTGACATCCTATCGTCCTTCCATAACACGATTCCAAACCCTTTTCTGCGAAAAGTACAGGGCCGTTTTTGAGCACATCAACATTTAGTCATAACTCCTAGTCAGCTAGTGAACATTTGTTGTGAAGACAAATTATACTTGGTCAGTATATCAGTCTAAACGAACTTTTGGGAAAGTATTAATGCCCGCCCGGATTTTTGAATTCAACACATGTTGTGTTTTGCGATTTTTCCTGCCCAAACAACAAGTTGTCCGACGATAAAAAATGCGTTATAGGATTCTATGATAGTCGGTGATGAATGTCTTTGGCAAAAGAATCTTGCAAATTTAAAACATGCCGCGTGAGAAACATTTCTTCGGTTCACTTTGCAGTTGACCTTTGCTTCAGGTTGTAAAATCTACAACTCGTCTGTTGTGTTTTGCGATTTTTCCTGAGCTACACAAAAGTGTTTCAAACTCTTACACTTCTTCATATCATCGGATTTAATGCATTAAAAGATGTCCTCCTTGAAAAGGTTTGATAACGCGCCTTTATCTATTAAAAAATGAGGACTAATACAACAACAACTGTTTGACAAGCCATGTCTGCATGTACAAGAGCAGTCTAAAATAACAATCTTTTGCGATTTTTCCTGCGGACATGGTTTGCTGAATCGCAATAAAAACCACACAGAATGAAGCGCACAGTAATGTAGATGAATGTCTTTCTTTGCACTATATCTGCCGGTTTATACAGTTGCTGTGGTTGAAGGATTTACGCAGACTAACGCTGTTTCAGCTCGAATCTGAAACTGAATCTGAAACTACATGAAATTTGAATCTTAAACAAAACTATCCGGGGGGCTGACATCCTATCGTTTTTTCATAAAACGATTCCAAGACCTTTTTTGCAAAAGGTATTGGGCTGCTTTTGACATAATTCAAACTTCAGCATAATTTACAGTCAACTGGCTAAGATTCAGTGTGAAGACAAACAAAACATCGCTTATATCAGACTAAACGAACTGTGATGATAGTCTTAATGCCCACCCGGATTTTCGATTCCAACACTGGTTGTGCTTTGCGATTTTTCCTGCCGAAACAACAAGCTGTTTGAAAATAACAAGTGCGTTGTATCATTTTGTGATAGTTGTAGATGAATGTCTTTCGCAGACGAATATTCCAAACTAAGCGTGCGACGCGTGAGAAATGTTTATTCTCTCAGCTGCGTTGTTGACGTTCGCTTCAGGTTACAAAAGCCGTATCTCATGATCTATGATTTGCGATTTTTCCTGAGAAAACAACTAACGTTTTTAAGACCTAGTTTGCTTTATACGATTTACTACAGTGTACTAATGAATGTCTTTCAGAAATTAGGGAACTACACGCGTATTTTACGATACAAAGCGAAATATAAGTTTGTCGACAGGTCAAGACAAACATGGCGCAGTAAGAATTCACGCGTTGGTCGTGTAGTTTCTGCGATTTTTCCTGGCTTCACCTTATGAGCTAAAAATTAAAGTATAGTTTTGTCAAATGCGCAATAGTCTGATAATGGATGTCCTTGATGAATTACGTTTATTCCGTGAAAAGAGACTGAGCAATTCCACATTTTGTACCCCCGTTTCATATTCAAATCTGAATCTGAATCTGAATATGAATCTGAAACTTGAATCTGAAACTGTAGAGCGGATCGTTTAAATTTTTTCAAGAAAATGACGGGGGGGGGGTTGCAATTAAATTTGAAGAAATTTGCTTAATAACCTGGTATCCATTTGGTTGTAAATGTTGCAACTAAATCATGGTCACTGATGTGAAATAGTCTGGATTCATCTTGTCTTGTGTGTGCTGTATGCAAATCAGATTTATGGTTTACAGACTAGTTAAATTGACAATGTATTATTACATCAGCTCTTGATGTGGTTAAATACATTTAAATTAAGCAAGGTTAACGGCGGATGTATTATGCAGGCCACATCCGCTGAGGGGAGTCTGTGACGTCATATCGATCAAAGGGGGTTGTTTCATGCCTTGTGATCAGTGCTTCGGTCTGGGTATTCATTCTTCCATTGTATGCTTTGCCTAGCTGCAGCAAGTTAAAGTTTTGCGCTTCGATATCTTTTCCCCACCCACCCACCCACCCATGTTCATTCTAAAGGATTTTATCTGGTAGCTAGTATATGTCATTTTATTTTATATAATTTTTAATCTCACATAAAATAGGATGTATAGACCACTATACATTGTATTTTGCAGGTATGCCTTGGCAGAATTGTCATTGCTAAACTATCTCTTTTTGCTGCTAATATTACTGATTGTTGCTCTCATTGTTGCTGCGCAGCTGCTATGGCAATACTTCGTACCATCAAGTCTAGTTGCAGCCTTAAACATGGTTACAATCGCCCAGACCAAATGGAAACCTGATTTTAGTGTTACATATAAAAATACTCCTCTTTTAATTATAATTTTCTGCTAATATATTTTTGGTCGACGTTAATATCTTGCCAGTTCCATATTCTTATTTAATAATTAACACTATAACGCCTGGGTATCCCCATTTGACGAGTAAAAGAGAAATGGGGGGGGTCAAAGAAAAATATTCAAATATGCAGGGGGGGTCATCATTAAATTTCTGCTCTTTTAGGGGGGGCTTTCAATTTTAAAAATTTAGAAAAGAAAAAATTCCCCTCCCCCCCTTCCATAAATAATGACCGGTCCCTTATCTCGCAATAGAGGAACAAATCAAGTCAAATATGGTATTTTAACCAAAAGCACATGTTCAAGAATGTTGGGGACCTCTTTTACATTCAAATGAACTCAATCGTAAAGAAACGTGTCTATATGTTTGACGACGTTTCTGAGTGCGACTGAGATGAATCATGAATACAGTCGTGACAACACCTTTCAAATGGGAATTTCTGATAGAGATCGGTGAATTATACCATAAGTTAACACATGAGAAATTGGTCATGAACTTTATTGTTTTGGAAATGGTGAATTTTATATGGACAAGACTCATATTTGTTTCTATCGACCTAATCAACGCAAACAAATTATGTCGCTTGTGGGATTTGTTAAAGGAACAAATGATTCAGGATGGTAGAAAGAATAGCAGGTGCGTTGTAGTGATCTTATTTATGTTAATGGTGGGTGCTTAAACGCAATGCCTTGTGAGAATATATACCATCCCATCCCTGCTTGTGTAATATGTACTTCCTTATTAAAGTCATAGTCATGATTATAATTATCACTCTTCTGAGAAGACCTCAATGGTGTTTTATTCCAAAGAAGCAAATTAAAATTAATAAATTTGAAAGAAATTGAAAGTTGTAAAATAATGGTATCTCATTTCTGTGCTTTTTAGATCCTATAGAGACAGTATAAAGTGAAGATGGAACAATGCTGCAAACAGTTACTTTCAGTTGCATGTCTATATATGCATTATATTGCATTGTGTAAAAACAATTTAATTGTAAAGGGTCTCTAGTATTATAGGATCTGTGTGAAATTCCAGTAGTTTGTTGCCAAATACTCATTTAGTGTGTTTTGCCAAATAAAGTTTAACTGCCTTGTATGAGGTAAAAATGGTTGTAACAAAAATGCAGGTTGAAATCAAGCCTTCAAAAGCATTAAACCCATATTAATATTTGCTCTATCTAGTGCAAGATGATTTTACTCATTAGTTAATTAGTTAATTACTGTAATACTGCAAGTGAACTGTTTAACAGAACTCGTCTATCTGTATACATGGTCATTACTCCACTGTTGTCACTGCTTTGTTTTTAGGAGCCGACCATTTAACTTTTGAGGGGGGGGGAGTTGATTTTGAAAAAAAATTCCTGCAAGGCTATTCTGAACAAAAAAAACCTGCACTAACAGAGGGAAAAATATCCTGTCCCATTATTTGGTGGGAAAATGTTGCAAAACACCATGGTTGCAGGGATCGATTTGACCAGTCACAGAAGATCAGCTGGTTTGATTTTCAGGGACTAGTGTAAGGTTAATTTCTTGTTGGAAAACTCATCAAAGTGAGCTTCAAGAAATCCAAAATTTTCTGGGGGGGCAAGCCACCAGACCCCTCTAGAGGCTCCCACCTTTGATTGTCAACTCGGTTGTCTCAGAATCCTAGGTATCACTATGGCCTGATCTGCTGCCCTATGGTGCATACTTATTGGTTAAACTATGCATACATATGCTGCACGTAGCTGCAGCAACACATACTTGCCGACCGGAACTTCTCCAGGTCCCCCGCTAAATATGTCCCTTCCAGTTACACATCCTTACAGGGCCGTAGCAACCAGAGGGGGTTGCAATCCCCCCCCCGGCCCAATAATTTGCTAATAATCATTTTCAAAATCATGCAGACCTTTATCATTTAATCCATGACAAACTGCAAAGGATGAAGATATTACTCATATTTTCCTGCAACTTATCCAATATATAGTTCATTAAATACGCCTTCATCCATTTAGTACTACTAAATTGTAAATTTCAACATACTAAAACGCTGGTTTCTGACCATCAGAATTCTGTCAAATCTTCCCCAAAGTCCAGGAAATGGCACTTCAGAGACTTTACATTTAAAAATTTCCTCGGGCCATCAGCCCTCGCTTTCAGCCCTCGCTTTCAGCCCCCCCCCCCAATCGAAAAGAGCTTCCTATGGCCCTGCCTTAAAAGAAGCCCTGAACCAAATGTTATACCTCATAGCAATATGTATTATTAAAAGCAATGCATGAAGCTAGAAAACTCAACGTTAACTATAATCAAAGAATCTAAATGGGTTGTTCCAGAAAAGATCCATACTCCCCTCACAGAGGAAATTTCTGCCGTCCGGAGGGGGAGGGGAGAAAAAATTGTTTCTGATAATAGTAAATGTATTAGGACATCCGAAGGGGGTAGGGGGGTTAACTTCCTATTTCCTCTGTGGGGGTGGTATGGATGTTTTCTGGAATGACCCAATAGTATAAGCTATTGAAAAAAAATGCTGCGAAAGAGTGGAAAAAAAAATCATACATGGTGATGGGATAGAAAAAAACTTGCACATCATGATCCCAGAAAAAAACTCCCTGCCAGCAGTAAATCACCCCCTCCCCCCCTGAAAAGTTAAATGGTCGGCCCCTCAATTCATTCGTTTCTTAATAGTTTTGTCTTTTTACTGTAAAATGACTAAAGTAAAAGTACTGTTACTGTAAAATTACTAAAGTAAAAGTTTGTAAGCAGTACTGTAGTGTATTTTAATGCAATTGTAATGTGTGTAGGTGTGTCAAGGCAGCAGTCAGTCTCATAAAATATACATATTATGCTGTTTATTAATTGATCTGTATTTTTGAGGGGCAGAACATATAACAATGTCACAATTTCTTGAAACCTAAAAGCCTGATTTACTCCATGAAGAAAAGACAAAGCTAAAATGATCTCAGCAGGTTGCAGTATTCAGTCAACAAACAATGTTTTATAACCAATACATTTTTTGTGATTAGGCTGTTAGATTTCACACAGATCCTATAATACTAGAGACCCTTTACAATTAAATTGTTTTTACACAATGCATATATAGACATGCAACTGTTTGCAGCATTGTTCCCATCTTCACTTTATACTGTCTCTATAGGAATATAAGATCTAAAAAGCACAGAAATGAGATACCATTATTTTACAACTTTCAATTTCTTTCAAATTTATTAATTTTAATCTGCTTCTTTGGAATAAAACACCATTGAGGTCTTCTCAGAAGAGTGATAATTAATAATCATGACTATGGCTTTAATAAGGAACATATTACACAAGCAGGGATGGTATGGTATATATTCTCACAAGGCATTGCGTTTAAACACCCACCATTAACATAAATAAGATCACTACAACGTACCTGCTATTTTTTCTACCATTCTGAATCATTTGTTCCTTTAACAA